TGATCGACGCCAAGGAAGGTGGGCTGTCGACGATGCTCAAAGCCGGATCGCCTTCTACCAAACTCAGTCGAAGAAATCGCTCGATCAGGTAGACAGAAACCTTGATCGGATTCGCGAAACCCTTCGGTCAATAAGGAAGATGCGAATGTCGTCGGCAACCATACCGAGGCATTCTTCTTCTTCTTCGATCAACTTGTCCACTTCACGTAGACGCTATCAGTCTCGTCATACTCCCACCGTTGTTGATGACTACGCCCCGCTCGAACTCCCTCTGCGATGGCGTGACCCGCAGCCGGAGTACCCGTTGCTCGAGCATCTGTTTCGATGGGGCGATCCCCCTCCGTTCCAACACCTTTCGTCTCCCAACTCCTCCCGTCCACGCAAGATGCAACAGGTCGCTGATCACAGCCAGCGCAATGAGCTGAAGCCGTTCCAACAAATTTATACCGTCGCTGACGACAACTCCGTCGCTGCAGGCGCATCCTCCCTCTCCACACCTCCCGCAACTCCTTCCACTCCGCAAAATCCCACGGCCATTGCGGAATCCACCGGGACAGAAAAGCTGCTGGAGGTCGTCAAGGTCCCCAACGTTGCCCCATCGACCAAGCCATCGTCTCCACCGCAGGCAGCGTCAGAGACATTTTCTTCTCGGAAGAAACCCACACACGTTGCTGATTGTTCGATCGAACAAGTCTTCCGTATGCCAGAACTTCCAAACCCACATGTCGACATTCCCATACCCGGCATTCAACCCGATCCCGCCGCTACCACTCCGCCATTGCCGCCCGCACATACAGAGCTCCCGCCCCCACTCTCATTCTGCTCTCGTGATTTATCTCTTGGCGTCGAGCCCGATCTCTCACAACCCGATTCCAGTGTTGTTGCCAGTTCATCTCGCGAACGACAATCGGACCTACCCGTGCTCCATGAGACAGGATCAAACCCACTCGCTGCGCTCTATGCGCCTGCGACCGACGGCTTCCACCATCCGACTCTGCTTTCACTTCCCGACCCGGCAGCGTCCGACGATGTGAACATGGATGATGGATTTGCTCCTCAAACCCCGATCCAGTCCTTCAATCCAATTTTCAATGACCGCACACCCGCATCCGCCCAGATTTCCCAATCAAATCCGCCTGCATGCCTAAAGACTAGCGTCGCCGCCTGTTCTGACTCCGACGACACCGAATCCACCTCCGATCAGATCCATCCACACGTCGTAGCCCGCTCGGTTCCGTTGTTGTGCGGACCAATGGAGCCTGTCGGCACTCGTTCAATACTCGACCAAGATCCATTGCTAAAATATATATCAAATTTGGATAACTCGGAGATTGATAAGCTATTCTGTGAAATCTCCAACGCCACCTCATGCAAATCAATGGTCGGAGGCGTTCACCCTTCCGGTGATGAACGATGTGGATACATTGTCTACTCTTGTCCTGCTTGCCGATATCGTTCTGACATTACAGGCGGAATAGATGAATGTGGTTATGGCTATGTACCCAGTATTGGTAGATTCGAGGATGCATCATCATCACCTGTGTTGAGATGGATTACTCGCACTCTATTACCCACCATAGATGACTTCATTTATCCTGTTAGTACCCTAGAGTTATCCTCAGGGTTGGCTGAAAGTACTGCCTCCAGTGGTATAGCAGCGAGTCTTGTTGGTAAATATGGTGATCTTCATTGTCCCTTCATGGGGAGCTACAAGCAACGAATATGGGAAGCAATAAGGGCATGTTCTGCTGATCCTAATTATTTTGATGATTTATCAGATTATCTAAATCAATGGCAATATGGAGCTATTCTGACAAATAATCCTACAATTTTTACTATAAGAGAAGCACAGCTTTTGTGGCCTGATGCTCGAATCGATTGTCTGGCTTTTGAGAGTCTGTTTGAACGCCTACTTTCAAGAAATGCAAATGAGGACAAGTTGGCTGAGAAATTGAAGAGTATCTATGCAGATACAATGCTTGATGATGACAGCCCTTCATTGGGGTGGAGGCGGATAGTCCTGCTTATCGAGTCATCATACAATCTCGTCTTTGGAAAATCTGTTAACCATGCCCGAGCACTAGAGACATTTTGTGCTTGCAACGACATTAAGCTATCTCATACAAACAGTCCAGTGGTTGGTCCTCAAAGAATGAGCCGTATTGATCTGGTGCCACTGCTTAATTTGGATGGTCATCCTCTCAGGAAGGCCACATCCCCTACATCTCCACTATCACTGCAGCCTTCCATTAATATCCTTTCTTTAAATAAGAAGCTACAAAGTTTGCCTCATGTTGTCATTATTCAATTTGCTCTGCAAAATGATTCCACTGGGTTAATCTTAAGTTGGCAGAATGATGTATTTGTGGTGCCTGAACCTGGAGAGCTAGCAGATAAATTTGTCTTCAGTAGCTACTTTTCAAAGCTAGAGCTGGGATTTCAGAAGATAAGATCTTTGTTACAGCTTGGAGAAGCACGTGAGCAAGATCAAAAGTTCTTTCACAACGTGAGAACTTTTCTTCAAAAGGGTAGACAGGAGATTAGCATGGAGGTGAATATGGATGGAATCAGAATCATACTGAGGATGCCAATACAGCTTGATGCTTTAGTTTGGGGAGCATTGCTTGGTACTTACAAAATGCATGAAAATGTGGAGTTTGGAGAAAGAATTGATTGTTATGTGTTCAAAGGGATCCTGAAATTGATCGCCAAATCGCATAACATATCTCTCACATTCAAAATCTTCGATCCAGGAGGATAACTTATGTTTCTACATCTATTTCCTTCTCTATTGTGTCTCGACGGAGTCGAGCCCTTTTTTATGCAAGGGGAGAATGATGCAGAGCATCTTAACTAAATTTCTCCTTAGGCATATTTTAATTAGTTTGTCATGTGCTTCTTACAAGTATCTTCTAGAGTGTTCTGTTTAGCTTATATAAGCAAGTATTGTAGTAGGGAAAGG